TCTCCTGAAACATATAAGTTGTGGTTGTTTGGATGTTTGCTGTGAAGAAATGTAGAGACTGGACATTGAATATCCTTGTTTAAACAGTATACAATCTGTAATTTTACAATCTGAGATTTACCAATTACATGTTCAACATTTTTAAATTGAAAATACAATGGGTTAAGAATCAACCCCACGAGTCACGAGTCTGAGTGTGTTTATGTGAGTGTCACTGAAGAAAGACAACAAAGGCAACAGAAAAACAAACTGCTCAGAAAGAACAGATAAGAAAGATAGAAACTTGACAGATGCCTCCTGATGAAAGAAGGGGGAAAAAAAACAGAAATCAGATATGGATGATAATTGCTGGTGGTGATGGTGTGTGTGTGTGTGTGTGTGTGTGTTGGAGGAGGTGCTGAAGAAGAAAGAGAGAGAAATAAAGAGAAACTGTGGCAGCCGTCTGGCACATAGACCAATCTTTCATCTGCTGCTTTTAATCCTGCCATGGTCAACATTCATGATAAAACCTGAGCTTGCATAACCAAATCAAGAAAATTCATAATCATAACACTAAGCCTTCTGACCATCTCTAAATTTAGAGAGGCTTTAAGCAAACTGAGAGAGAGCAAGAGAAACATACTTAAATTGACACAAATGTGCCAGAAAAATAGATATGAAACACCAAAGAAGTCACAGCTTTGAATTAAAAAAAATAAAAGATGTGTTGTGTCATTTGCCATTGCTGCCCCCTCCACAAATTACACATGACACATACTTTTGTAAAATGAAAATGAAAATGAAAAAAAAACAAAAAAAAACACTTTGGTTCATGATATGAGTGTAAAATGCAATGGTCCCAAATAGCTTTTGTGATCAGCATGCATTTGTTCATATGCATTGCAAATGACGTGAGAGATGAACAAATTGTCATTTTAAAGCAAATTATCTGCTAAGTTTGGTTGTGAATGCATGATTTCCACCAGTGTTCTAAGAAAACACTTTTACCTACAAAAATTATGCAATTTAAAATAAATAAATTATTAATAAATAAAAATGAGAAGGGTACAAATTTAATTGGCAATATTTTGATCTTTTAGATCAAAAACAAATCATTTTATTTATTAGAAGAGGAAAAGTTCATGCATAGGTAGACAGAGGAAATGATACATGGTTGAAATAAACAGGGGAAAGGAGCAATGGCTTAAACAAGCTACATCAATGGATCATGAAAGGAATGAGATCATAAACATTAAAAGAGTGCTTCAAGAACCCAACAAAGGACACATGGAGAAGAGATGCAGAGAAATCGCCCAAACGTCTGTGCAGAGAATAGTTCAGTTAATAATTGGCCTGTGTTTAAGAATTAAAACAGGAGTGTGCAAGTGTGTGTGTGAACATCAGCTTTTGAACACATTCCTGGTCCTTCATTTGCCCCCTGTGGAGTAACAGGAGCTCCATTGTAGAGGAGTGTGTCTTCAACCAGAGTCTGGCCCTCAGTGCAGAGCACCTGTATGGTAATGAGGGATCATCCCATTGTGTCCGCAAAAAGAGAACAGCTTGTCAGAGTGTGCTGCAATGAGACTGAGTGTGACCAACCAGGGAGTTAAATAGGGCGACAGAAGTGTGTATGTGTGCCATGGGGTCAGATTGCGGTGTTTCTAATTGATGACCTCAGATGGAGGTCATAGAGGATTTGTTTTGAATACAACTGGCTGGATTTATTTTAAAACTGTTTCTCTGTACACGTGTCCATGAATAAGAGACATTCTCATACATTCAGTGACGACCAAAAGTCTGAGATATAAAGGATTTCACACTCATGTTATTAATGTAACTTGAAATAGAAATATATACAAGAATTTGGGGTAGTAATTTTTCTTAAAGACCAAGAAAGGCTGCATTAAATTGATCAAAAGTGGCAGTAAAGAAAAAGACATTTTCCATTTAATGTTTTGATCTATTCATCAAAAATCCTTGTGTTACAGTTACCTCAAAAATGTTAATTTGCAATAATATACCCTAATATTACTGTTTTACTGTATTTTTTTATCAAATAAATGCAGCCTTGCTGAGCTTTAGAGACTCAAAAGCACTTTTGAAGAGTAGCGTACATATATTATTTTCTGTGAAAAGTTTTTTTCTTGCAGCAGCAGCAGCAGTCAACATAGGTAAAACTGCTTTTATGACCCTGTATAGGGAGTGACAGGCTTTTTCCTTTTCTCTATTTCTGCAGTCTGAACAGTTAGCTCTCTAACTGTTGATTTTCTCCTACGTGAACACCTACTTCGTTCTCCAGGTCATCCATCACTTTGTTCATTTATATTATGCAATTTTCAAAGTAAATCAATTTTGCTTTCAATTTCTCTCTTTCCATTTTCTCTCACTCAACCCATTTATACATCGTTCCATCTCTCCCTCTCAGTGTTTTGCAACAGTAGGCTCTCTGTATGCCTCGGGGTGTATCTCGGCGCAACAAAACAAAGATCCACTCCCACTTTCAACCAAACCCTCAACGGCTTCTGCACCCTACCTAGGTCTTCACCTTTTACCATCTTACCACATAAACCAATCTTTTCCATATTTGATTCATTATCCTACCCATTCCAACCATTTCCCCATTTCAGAAGCAGTGTTGCACACTATTACCAAAAACGTAATTATATCTCAGTAATTATTCACTTTCTATAAATGGCTTCTGCAGGTGTGCAAAGGGCAGACATAGCTGAAAGTGTATAAAGGTTGACCAAAGTTTGTCAGTGTTATTATTGTTGTCATTTCTTTTGTTGCATTACTGTGGAGCTAATTTTGCATGTCAGGCAACCAACAAACAAAGTTCCATAGAGACGCATTCAGCTCGTGATAACAGCTATGGGCTTGTTTCACAACGAGGAATAAATAAATTTTTCATGAGATATTTCATCATTCCCATCTGAAGTTAGAAGCTAATCAAAGCTGTGAATAATTTTCTTTGTTGCACAGATGAGATCTCCTGAGCCCACGAGGATATGCATTAGCAACTTGACAGCTTAAACGCTAAATTAACTCTAAACAGCACTTCATAATGTGTTGTTATGAAATTATCCTTCTTCTTCTCATTTTTCATCACAAATGCTTTGTTGGGATATCCTGCAAGCGATTACCCCCCTCGCTAAATGACTCTTGAAATGGATGTGTCGGCTGAAAGCTGCAATAACAATGAAGGAGCACTTTTACATACTAACATTAACAGGACATTAGAGAATTTGTGTTGTACTGGATGCAGGATTTCCAGGCTGAATGGCCAAGTTGTTTACACCTTGATCGCTTTGTAAATCCGTGGTCCATTATGCAAATTCTGCCTTTGTTTAGCCACTGTTCAGAACACTGGACAACTGCCCATTCACATTTATACACATATAGTCTGTCAGTCTCACACACAAGTGGACAGTATGGCCCAACACTCCACACAGATCTATCCACACTTTATAGACAGCAACGGCTACTGTGTAGGGGGATAGTGAGAGAACAAAAAAGACAGTGTGTACGAGAGCGAAAAAAAGAGAGAATAACTGAGAGGAATTTCAGCCTGTCATAGACTTATGCATGATGCCAAGCCAGGCTGTAAAGGGAAACCTGCTGTGGGCAGATCTGTTCCTGAACATTTGCTCCGAGCTCTACCTCCTACGCCGATGGAGCTCATAAGAATACTTTATTCTGCAACATTCAGACTGAATAGTCATAAAACGTCTAAAACACATCCATAATGTCCCTGCTCACCTGGTGAAGGTGGCACATTGCTCTCAAAGCAGACGGAAAAGCTGAAGCCTTCAACAACATGGAGCATGCATGAGCCTGCCCAGCCCTGCCTAGCCCAGCCCAAAAAAGTCCACAGGTAGACACACTTTCCACTCAGCTCACCTTTCTACCCTCAAGTCAAGACCTGGACTAAGTGAGGATAAAAACACTGTGACCCCAGGATGAGTAGCTAGATCTGGGTTAGAGAGAACCAGGCAGCCCAAGTGGAGGTGGGATGAGGGGGGGGGGGCCCTGATGACTGGAGCTGATGTCATAATTCCCTTATCAGGTGTAAAAGGGGATTTTATGGATTACAGTTTTTTTTTATTGATACCCAGGAAAAGCCTGCTTTGTCTGTCATTCTACACAATGTACAATTTCCAAATGTAATATTTCATAACTGACAGAAAAAGACTGCCCACAGTATATTACTCAACTTGCTGTCATACTGATTAATGCTGAACAGGGTTATAATATCCAGAAAACAAGTTATATATTACCTATAGAAATCTTAGGAAAAGCTAAAAAAAAATTTAAACGATTATTATTAAAAATGTAAGTATTGTAAAAAGAACAGTTATAAAACAATAAGAAAATAAATAAGATACTTTATAGTATATATGCATATGAAAGTTTATAATGATGTATTTGATTAGAATAATATGTATGTATTCAATTAGAATAATATATAAGGATGTATTCAAATAGAATAATACATTTTTTATTAAAAACACATTTATTTTAGGGTTATTACTGTTAAATGAAACTAAAATTCTTAACAAACACTGTTGTTAACTGAAATAAAGCTGAAATAAAATAAAATCACATATATACAAATATAAATATTTGATGAATAGCGTCAACTAAACAAAAATTAGAAATGTTGCCTTGTTAAGTAACTGAAACAAGTTTAAATTGAAGTCCTTACATTACTAACTAAAAATAAATAAATAAATAGTCATATTAAAAAAGACAAAAGTACAAAGCAAAATTAATAAAATAACTAAAATGAAATTTCACAATATCAATAAAAAGTGTAATAGTATCTTAATAAAACTAAAACAACAGTGATCTATTTGTCATGTTTTTATACAGTCTATGGTCATGGTCCGTTCACTTCAATATTAGTAAGCCTGTGCGTAGAGGCGTGTCGAAAATAACGCTTTCCGGTTTTCATTGGTTGCTTGTTCGTTGAGGGCGTGGCTTATGTAGCTGATTGATAAAGCGGACTGAGCGCACATTTCTCCAGGCTTTACCGCGACAGTTTCTGCTAGAGACTCATACAAACCTGTTATTCAAGTAAACAGAATCACTAGTGTTTCAGCGATTCTCGCACTGCAGTAGTGCACATTTATATTTGCGTCTTCAACGTGCAAAACAATCTCTTGCACTCGTATTTATTCCTCTGAAGAGAATTATATCCCGGACGCAATGGATTTTCTGTGGCTGGTGTGCGTTGCGGTGAGCGTCAGCGCCTGGTACGCGTCTGCGGAGCGACACAGTGTTTACTGGAACAGCACGAACGCTAAGTAAGAATTTTACTACATACTCCTGTAATTGTATGAAAGCTTTCCGCTGTATTTATTTTCAATATTTATATAAATCGTTTTGCCTTTTATATGATGTTACTCTGGTTAGTATTCTTGATAGTATCTGAAATCTCTGCATAGTACACTAACACAAGTTGTCCAAATAAATTCTTGCAAGTACGCATTATATTAGTTTATGAATTACGTGTTATATGCACTGCATTAACAGTCTAAATAGTTTCACAAATCTTCAGCTGCTTTGTTATTTTATCTGGTTCATGCAATGTTTTGTTGCAGTGTTATTTGCTCCTCCTGAGATTCATTCTGTGGGGGAAGGTGCATGAATAGATTAAGAAAACACATACTATCTTTAACACATAACCAATTATTAGCCCTGGCTTGCAAGTAATGTTAGTTCAAGTTGTTTACGCTTTCAGTTTAGTTATCAGACACTCTTGTCTAACCTTTAACATGCTAGTGAATTACGTGATAATTACTGTATAAGAGGCAGCAGCTGGACAGAGAAGTACGTGGAAAGAAACCAGACAGATGGACAGACAGATCAGCCTAAATATACACACACACTTGTTAGTTTTACTATATTTGTGAGGGCATCTTATTGACAGGCTGATATGATATTTACCATAACCAAGTTATCCCTTGCACAAACCTTTTGATATATGTAGATGTACAGCAAAACAGGAATTAATGAGCCAGTTCTTGTTTCACTATATTAATGAGGATGTTTATTTATTTAATTATTTTGCATTAAAAGTACAGCCAAACTTTTACACACACACACACACACACACACACAGCAATAAATAAACAGACACGAGTGCACTAGACGAGCATATCTATGGCTAGTAGTAGCCTTTTTATGGGAAGTCTCTTGTTACTCTTAGTATGATATTAAGTTGTTACTGTTACAGTTTACAGATCGGTGGTTGTATAAACCTTATAGCTCTTTGATTGGTGTTTCATCAAATGATTGCGATTGTAATCTCACCTCATAGTGAGGAAGGACGGGTCATCAGACACTTTAGAGAGATCAATACGAATGACAACAATCAGAGCGATTTATTACGCTTTTAGCAGGAAACTCAAGAACGAGAAAATGGGCTTTTGTGGATATCAGTAAGCTTAAGCTTGTTACTGTAAAACAGAATCTTTGACCATGAGATGACATCTTCTTATCCCTTCTCATAGTCATTGACTTGTTTCACCTGGATTTACATGTACACAACTCATAAACTTGTAGTCATAAAAGTTAACCGGTGATAACTGAACTGAATCCATGCTCAAAGTCATGACCCGATTGGACGTTTTCATGATGGCACAGGTGATTCACACGGTCTGTTGTGATTCAGTCTGTTTTCGGTGAGTAATTTATCAATGCCGTTGTTGCGCAACATGAGTGTACCAGCCTTAACCAGACACGGTCTCAGAAGAGCCTGGCTCACTATCAGCCAGCAGTGAGAGAGAGAGGGAAACAGCAGCTGTGCCTGAAGAAAGACAGAAGAAATCATGTAATAGAGACCAAACACTTTTTAGGACCTGCTGTGAAAAGGATGAGGCGGAAGAGGGGGTGATGTAGTAATAGGAGCTGCTTGAATTTGGGTTAAAAAAAAGAATTGGCAGTTTGAGTTAGAGACTAGTATGGAGAAAAAGAGGTGGAGGGGATTATGTGGCAGCAGTGTGGTGCTTGGTCCGGTCTCTAATCCCGACATGGTCCACATCCATGGAAAGGGTTGCGTAACCACAACAAGAAAATTTCTAATAACAAAACACTAAGCCCTCTAAATTAAAAAAATCTCTACGTTAAAAATCTGAGTGGATCTCTTCTTTTAAGGCTCTCATACTTGCACATATACACAAAGACCTTGACATTGTTGCTCTATTAGCAAAAGTTAAAAACAAACGGCCACACACTAAAATCAGATCTGTAAATATAATCCCATTTTGAGCTGGTCATAATCTGGCAGGTGTGGTGGGATCTGTGTTTTAACGCCATCTTTTTTTCCAAGATAAACCTCTGTCGTTAATCTTATGTTCTAAGAAAAAAGAAACCGTTTCCATTAATGGGATTTCTTTTTTTGCTTTTCTTTCCTTTAAAAACTTCCATCAAAGCCAGTGATTGTTCAATCAGCCCGTGAAACTCAATCAGTCAGTATGTAAATAGATTAGACAGGCTCGACTAATCAATGGCAGATAGGTTTTTAAAATAATTGGCGTGATCGCACGCAAACAAACACAAACACACACCCGACTGTTAGTGGGTGTGAGTGAACAGTAATGATTTAATCTCCTGCGCGTGGCCTTTGGCAAGCTGACACTCTGGTTTGACGGGTGTGTGCGTGAGTGTTCACCCCGAGGAGACTGGATTTTCAGGTCCGGACTGACATATAGACTTTGTTTTTGACAGTCTGTTTTTGAGCTTGTCACATGCCTACGCTTGCACGCTGAGTGCGCTGAAGGGGAAGTGTACAGTCCCGTCATGTTAGCATCATTGAATCATTATTTTTGCCCTGAATTATGCGTTTATTTTCACGTACATGTTGTCATATACATGTGCTTTCCCTCATCAAAGTTTCACTGGCTCGCCAGGGGGGAATATGCGATTTGGGTATATTTAGTAGATTGGGATTCCTTCCAGCAAACGTTGCTATACTTGACCTTTCAGCTGTCCACTCATTGTCCACCCCATTTCCTTGTTGTCCATCACTTCCTCTGCATACTCACTTTGTTTGATCTTTTACATATATCTGAGCATTATATTGCTGAGTTGTTATCTTGAGGAGGAGGGTGCAGACAGATCAGCATATAACCAGACAGATTCCACAGACAGACTGTAAATCCATCTTCTTTAACCCCCCCTCATTCTTTGTCTAAGGCTCATAAACATGCAAACATGGTCGGCTAGGCAGGTCTATAATCTGTGAAACGAACAGAGTTCAGCCTCAGATTATACATAGAAGTGTGTAATCTGACCCATTCACACAGAAATCACATTGTATATTTTTAGACTCCAGTGTAATCCAGTGCTGTATAATTCTGCTTTACACAGAAATAGATGTGTATGGAAAATATAATCCATAATTCCACAAAGCATTTTAGAATGTTCTACCATCTTGATTGATTATGAAATCATTTTTTTCACAGATTAGTTCCATTTTAGGGTTTCAACTGGTCAAGTAATGACAGAAAGTAATGTTCCAGTTCAGTTTTTGATGTGCATTTAAAAGACTTTGGGCCTGTTTTTAACTCCTTGCTTAATTTTTCTCTTTGCTCATTTTAACACTTAAATCCCATTATTCTGAGCTCTTCCTCTCTTCTCTTTATCTCCAGCCCAGACTTCCTCACTATTTCTCTCTATATGTCCTTATACCCTCCCTGCTCCATCTTCCCATGCTCTTTTTTTTCCCACACAACTCCCTTTGTCCATCTTGTTCAGTCCCTGATTACTGTTTTGATTCCCGTTGCCCTGTTGAGTTGGAGGTTTCCTGTTTTTCTGTCTGTAGTGTGCTAGATTGTGTAACTGTCGGTGTAGTAAAGTGTGTGACCTGTGTGAGTGCACAAATGTAAACAAAAGAACCAGAAGCTTGTTGCCTGGCATTACTTAATTATCTCAAGTGGAGTGTTTGCATTCAGTGTCTTCAGCAGCTCACTGTTGCCATCTACAGAACGCTTACAGTAGGCTACTCGGTGATCATTTTAATTCATTGCCTGTATTGTTTTCAGTTTATTATTTCAAAAGTACTTTTAGTGACTAGTCGCTGACTTTAAAGCTCACAGTGTGCTACCAAACAACAAGCTAGCATATCAGCAAGCAATTAGCATCCATTTAAATGTGAAAGAGAAAGGGAGGAGGGGGAAATCAGGCATTTGTGAGGGAAGGACTGAGAAAGATAGGATCGGGGGATGGGGGATGGGTTAGAGGTCAGAAAGAAGGAAAGAAGTGTTTCTCTAAAAAATTAGCCTGAATGAAGAGGCCCAGGTTTATAATGTGATTTTAAACAGAGAGGAGAAAGAAAGAGGGTGGAGAAGATGGAGGAAGAGGGGGATGGGAGACAGAAAGATATATATATATAAGAAATATACAGATTGGGGTGGAGCTAAAGGACAGTGATGGATGGGATGAAATTTTGGTCGTTTGCTCTAAACTCACAAAATCTCACAGAAATGCACTCCTACATGTATAATCGCACAACCCCTGAATAAAAGTGAAGAAAAATGCAAGATGATCATTTATTCTCTGCGTCGACCTAAAACTTAAGTAGAATCACTCAGTTTTGTCAGGCCATTGTAATATGCATATCACAATTTGTACATTTGCAAGGCTTCGATAATTTCAATATATTGTGCAGCCCTACCCCCCAATCTAACTTGACTTGAAACATGTATCTGCAACCCACCCCCAACCCCCACTTTAACCGCTGCAAACGGCCCGTATTGGATGGGTCTGGTGCTGGTGAATAGCAGCGGTGTGATCCGTGGGCTCAGTGGGATAATCCCTGGTTTGGAAGAGCGGATTAGCTGGATGGCATTCCGACCCATTCCACTAGGGCTGGGGTAATTACTGGCATGTAATCGGCAAGAAGGACAATACGAGAACATACTGATCGGGAAGAAAGTGAAAGAGCAGTGAGGTTAAAAGGACTTAGCAGTGACTTAACACCTTGAACCTGTCAGACTTTAATGGTACGAAGGTGTAAGACTGAGACGTCTCTGTATATTATGCTTGTAATGGAGAAAGAAAGTCAGACAGACACAAATAGCGTAAAAGCTCCATGCACGCGCTTGTACAGACAGGTTTTATTACTTGATAGTGTGAGAACAAGCTCCTAAAATAGGATCATAATACTTGTCATGACAAGCAGCAGGTCTTAAAGGTTTTTAGTAACCAAACCCTCAACTGTGTGTGTGTGTGTGTGTGTCAACTGCTGACAGCTAGTGTAGTGCATTTTGCAGTAAGTACATCTGTTCTGAAGCACACAGCGCTGACCGTCTCTCAGTGTGTGTGTGTGTGTGTGTGTGTGAGTGTGTGTGTGCACGCTGCTGACTCAGTAAGGGTGTGTCTGAAAAATCTGACCCTGAACTTTGACATTACTGACCCGCCTGACAGTTTAAAACATTCGGCAGAGAGTGAAAGGGGGGAGAGCAGACAAAATATTAGGGGGAAACAAGACAAACACATATCTGAGAGCAAGTGAGAGCAAATTCTACTTTACATGTATTTTTAAAAAAAAAATGAAATAAGTCTCTTATGCTCACCAAGGCTGCATTTTGTTTGATCAAAAATACAGTAAAACAGTAATATTGTGAAATATTATTACAATTCAAAACTACTGAATTTTATTGTAATATATTTTAAAGTGTAATTTATTCCTGTGATGCAAAGCTGAATTGTCAGCAGTTTTCAGTGTCACATGATCCTTCAGAAATCATTCTAACATGATGATTTGGCACTCAAGAAACATTTCTTATTACTATCAAAGTTTAAAACCGTTGTGCTGCTTAATATTTTTGTGGAAATCATGATTTTTTTTTCAGGATTCGTTTATTAATAGAAAGTTCAGAAGAACAGCATTTATTTGTCATTTAAAAAAATAAATAAAAATGTAAAAGTCTTTACAATCGCTTTCAAAAGCATTTCACACTTGCATAATATGAAGACTCCTGTCATATCAGTATCCTAATAAATGCTGTTTTATTCTACACAGAGCGGGTCACCTCATGTGGGCCGCCATGTTGAGATCACATGGCCAACCTAATCAGTCAGCATAAACAAATTACTTATTGCAACTTGAAGTCTTTAAGCCCACATGCAAACCTTTAAACACAGGCTCCTCTGTGTCTCGTGATAAACAGATGGGTGATGTGGCCCCCGGGGGCTGCAGGTACAGACACTCCTGTCATGGATGTTTACATGGATTCGTGCCCCTCTTACAACAGCATCACTCTCACACTCGGGCCATCACAGAGCAAACTGTCACACGGGAACAAGTAGGCACAGCGGCGTTTGAAGTGACCGATCACTGTGAGGAAAAACACAACAGAGCCGCTCTGTGATTGTTTGAGATATCAGCGGCTAGCCTTGGATCAGCTCAGAGAGATAAGCTACGCATGGGAATCGTAGTGTGAGGGCCCACCAGACCCTCTCAGCATGAAACTAAACTAGGGATGCACTTAATATGCAATACTATTTTGGCCAAAATAAAAATAAAAATAACAACTCCGAACTAAAATAAAATAATTTAGATGTTATGAGAGAATTTTGGTATCAGAAGATTATAATGTACAGTGTGAAAAATGAAAAGTTTTTAATGCTTAATTAAAAATATATAGGCCTATTAATAATATTAGCCAGTGACCGATAAGGTTTGGTATATGGACCGATTGTGCATCCCTAGGCAAACATTTTTGTGACCAAAGACTAGACCCGACCCTGAGGCCGATGTCTGTGAGAAGGGGAGGGGGAGGAGTTAATGACACCCAATTTGAGTTGTTGTCTTGGTCTTGCAAACACATTGTCATTAGGTTTCAAACAGCTCTGGATCAACTGCTTCAAAGGGACGTCAGAGGAAGTGAGACAGGGCAATCCTGCACACAATCTAGTTCTCAGGAAAAACAGACCGAAACTGGAACCGTTCACACTGCTCTGATTTGAATAACTTTGACCAGCTACACATTTAGCATCTAATCCACCCTTGCTTGGTCGCATCAGCCATGATTTGTTGATTGGCATGTTGAATACACATACAAAAACCACCGCTTTCCCACACACAGAAAAGTTAGCTGGCTTAGCAATGTGTACACCCTGTCTTTTGAACACTCCGCTGATTAGAAGCCGTGCGAGACTGATGCTAATCTCCACATTAACCAGCGCTAATGAGCGCAGTGATGTGTATGTTTACCCCCCGTCTGAATAGAGTGCGAGGCTGTTTAGACAGGTCGGCTAATGCGTACCACAGAGGCACAGTGGGAAAGAGAGAGAGAGATGAAGGGGGTTGGAGTGGACAACGGGGGGCCCGTCAGGAGCCTGTGTGTCTGTCCGTCATTTAACCACGGCTCCCGATGGCAACAACAATAAGTACATGTGCCAAAAGGGAGAAAGTGATAGAGCAAAGGGCATTTTGGGGGGAAAGAGGCTGCCTTGTGTTTTGACGGCGGTTCACATGAGGGCCGTGTGAGAAAATGTTATGGTAATGTGATTGGGTTTGAAGATTTTGGGTATATGGAAATGTGATGGCGTGTAGCGTTGTAACACTCACCAATCAGATGACTTATGGGGTTCGAACAATGGCGTCTTGTGGTCACTGTGGGGGTGACGGTATTAAGAAAAACATTGTGATTTATTCATAAATGTTATGCAGTTAGTTTGAGGCAAAATGTTTAGACATAATTCACAATAATAAAACACTGACAACATGAAAGCAAAGACACAGATAGAACAACATACTGAGAGGCCTGTGGATTTGTCATTTGTACATCTGGCAAAAGCAGCAGGGAAGTTTAGATCAGATGAAAATGAGAAAAGCAAATGAGACGACAATAAAAGAAGAGGAAGACAGAGAGGAGGCTGTAAAAAACACGTTGAGCCGATTCAAAGAGCCAGTCAGTCTAAGCGGCTCCATCTCTGTTGCCAAGAGAGCAAGTAAAAGGTCATGATGGATCACATGAAGTTAAGGGGTTTCAAGGTTTTCACAAAAAAATAAAAATACAAGATATTAACGTGTAAGTTAACGTGTTAGCTTAAAACATGTTTAAAATATTTTTTTTTTATATAATAATCTGTTTTGGAACAATATTTATTGTGAAAAACATTTTAATCTAACTTGAATTGAAAACATTTCTTATCAGTTAAAAAAGTGTATATTTTCCAGATAATATATAATACATATAATCAATGCTGTTATTCATTATTTAGCTTTTTTTTTATATAATAATTTAATTCTGTCAACCTGCCATTTCATGAAGGACATAACGAAAAACACAGTTGGACAATTTCCCATCTACACTCCTTCACCTAGTGTGACACCAAAATACATAGTAGGAAAGGAGGGATTTTACAGGGTGTTTTACGCAAATAAAAGTACCAGGTGAAGGGTGATAACTAAAGACACCCACACATGTGCATCAGGGTGTAGCTCCCACTTTTGGTTTGTACTGAGGACGGTTGCCTGAGGCTGTTTCAGTGTCACCAGAACTTTTGTTTCTGTTTGTTTGTGCACGTCAAGTTCTTTTTTCTGAGCCATTTTAATCCTGAGGTGTGTCTGTGTTCAGTACAACAGTATTGTAGGTTGTGTGCAGTAAATATTGACAGCCATTCATGGATTTTCTCTCTCTTTCTTCTTCCAGTTTCCTTTGGGATGATTACACCGTGGAGGTCCGCATTAATGACTACCTAGACATCATCTGCCCTCACTACACTCGTGGCGAGATCCCATCCCAGGAGGCCGAGCGGTACGTGCTCTACATGGTAGAGTTGGAGGACTACGAGAACTGCAAGCCACAGTCCTTCGACCAGCTGCGCTGGGAGTGCTCCAGACCTTTCGCTCCTCACGCTCCAGAGAAGTTCTCTGAGAAGTTCCAGCGCTTCACTCCCTTCACTCTGGGCAAAGAGTTCCGTCAGGGAGAGAGTTACTACTATATTTGTAAGTATCCACCTCTTTGCAGCATTTTGGATTCGCTTACCACAATTATTAACTATGTAAATGAGTACAATCATTTTAATATATCCTTTAAAAACAAAAAACTTGGTTAATTTATTCAAAATCTGTTTTAAAAAAAACGCTTCAATGCTTATTAAAATAACTTTTTTTTTGTCAAAGTCAGAAGGATAAATACATATGTAGAAACAAAAAATAAATTAATAAAATACGTAACTCCACAAAAACTGAATATTTATATAAAAATATATATAAATATATATAAAAAATATTTTTGAACATAATTATTAATATATGTACAATCACATGTATCCAAAGTATGAAGTTTTTCAAAACCATAAATGCAAAATGTATGCATATATTAGCATTTATTAGCACATTAAGTGTATTATTATTTGTAGCGCTTCAGATTCCAGTTCTAAATTTTTACTCTGTTTTCCACAGCCAAGCCTCTTCACCATCATGGACAGGAGTGTTTGAGGCTGAAGGTGGATGTAGTTGGACCTCATGGTAAGTCAAATCAGTTTTTGCATTTCAAACATGGCATTTCTGTCTAGACATTTAATCTTTCCTGAATTACAAGGACAATGAAGCCTTACTAAGAGTCCAACTATTTCATTTAATTTTCTAGGTTCTAAAAACAAGAAGAAGACCATGGAAAAACATGAGGAATTAGAAGGGAAGATGGCTGCTGGTGGAGTCCATAACCCGTGTTCCCTGTGTTTTGGATCTCGTGTTGCTCTAGTTTCAGTTGGTTTTTGTGACGTAATGTAAACACACCCTACAAAATGTACTGGCACTAATGTATAGATGAGATCAGAGGTTTTTTTTTTCATAAAACAACATTTGGTTTTGAATAGGAATGTTTGGTTGTGCTGAGAGAGAAGCCGGACTTCTGACAGAGAGCACAACATGCACGAACAATTCAAACGGTTGAATAATTTTCTCTAATAAGTTAAAAGAACAATTTTTTTGTAAAAAGCTGTGTTTTGTACTGTATTTGTTTATAAACTTGTAAATAGTTATGTAAAAATGTATATACTGAGAGGTATATAAAATAAAGACATTTGTTAATTATAAAAATGTGTGGAAAGTTTTTTTTTTTAATTAAAAAAAATGTTTATTTGATTCAAATTCAAAGAAAAAAGACATGGTTTAAAAAAAAAAGTATTTTGGTTTTAGGGCAAGACAGATTTTCTGAAATTTGTTGAGGCCTCATTGTAAAGTTAAACACTGTCAAAGCACTGTTAATGCTCTCACTGTCTAACTTTCTTCCTGTCCTCTTTCATTCCCTTTTCATCTCTTTTTCCCTGGCCAGGACTTCACAGCTTTTAGTAAAATGACACTTGAGTGCCAGAACGTAACTTGCTCATTTCCCTTGGCCTCAGTTTTTTCTTTGACATTTGAGAACATTAAACACAAGATATGTCTTCTGTATTTAACCACGTCAATGGAAAATACATCATTTTGTTTGAAAATATGAAGCAGAATGTTTGCAGCAATATGCAGTGAATGAAAAAAATTCTAGAAGATGTTCACATGGACTGGCTATATGGGGGTTTCTCAGCTATCGCTATTTTTGGCACCTGGATTTTTAGAAAACTTTTTTATTAATTATGGGGGGCATTTGTCATCCTTAGAATAAAATAACTGACTCCTTTGTCTTGCTAAAGATATTTTCATAGCTAGCATTTTCTGTATCCTCAACATAATATTTTCATTTTTGCAAAATTTGTCAAAATTACATTTTGTACATGTACTGTAAAAAATTTGAATAATGATTTTTTTCCCCCTTCGTTTTCTCAAATTTATGAGCTTTGTCCCATTTCAAATCAAGCATGCACTTCAGTACATAAACATTTGACAAAATTACAACTTCAAAAAAGGCACTTGTATTATAAATCATGATACTGAAATTTGTTTATTTGTTTAGATCACTTTGTTTAGGTAGGTCAATCATATTAAAGCAATAATTCTATAATTTCTTTAATTTCAGGCAGTGCAAAAATAAATTAAGAAAGCTTGGTAATGTTTCTAAGACAGCATTAATACAGTTATATGAGAGAGAAAACGGTTGAAATCTTTTGGGTTTAATATCAACCACAGATTCACTAAACCAGCTGCAAAGTGCAAATATTCAGTGTGGTTAAAACACTTTTCCTGATGCATATTGTATGCATATTGGGGAAGTCGTGGCCTAATGGTTAGAGAGTCGGACTCGTAACCCAAGGTTGCGGGTTCGAGTCTCGTACCG